TCTTTGTAAATAGGGAAGGGTGGAGGGCGTGAAAGGAGGGCTAGGAATGGGGAAAAACTAAGAACCAAGATGCCTTATGTAAAGGTACAATTCCCAATGAGAAATGTAATTGTGTTGTATACCTACAATGTACCAATAAAAGAATTTAATTAAAAAAAACAAAAAACCCCAAATCGGCCCGTCAACAGTCTCCTGCACCCTGCCCACAAATTCACTGTGCATGCTTCAGCTATGTAAGAATCCCTACCTAGTACCTAGGTTAACAGAAAGACCAGCTACATAAGGAAATTAGAAATTAAGCAAATCTCACCTGACAATATCTGATCTGAGATATGAGGGAGTCCAAACCTAAGCAGGTGGGCTGAATGGTGTACATAAAATACTTCTGTGAAGAAGTGGCCAGACCAGAAGAACTCTCAAGCTGGGGATACAGTTGGTGACCGCTGGCCAGAGGACTGTGGAAAGGCAGAGTTTAGGGACATCTTCACACCAGTAGCTGTAAGAAGGAGTCACAGATCTTTTCTTTTCTTTTTTTTTTTGTTTTGGTACCAGGGATCGAACTCAGGTCCTTGCACTTGCGCAGCAGGTGCAGAAACCATTGAGCTAAATCCCTGGCCCCCAAAGACCTTTTCTTTATGGAAGAGCCTTAGGAAGAAAAGCATGTGGTACGTTTTCTATCTGTCAACTGTCATGAAAAACCGAATGATATTGTGACAGAACTCAAAAATGGTATAGGACGGTGAGACGGTAATAGGAATATAAATGAGAACCTAGGAGTACAATAGAATATAAATGCATATCAGCCACCAAACTTACTGTTTTCTCTAAATAATATATGCCAAGGGCCTTTAGAGTTGTTCTTAAAACATAATGAGGAAGAAACACAATTCTGAAAGGCACAAGATGAAATGTAACAAAAAAAATTTGTACTTTTTTAATAATTTGATTACATGATTTTTGGGGGGAGGGTACGGGCAATCCAACTCAGGACCTTGAGCCTTCGAGGCAGGTGGCAGAGCAACTGAGCTAAATCCTGGGCCCTGATTACATAATTTTTTATAAAAAGGAGGAGAAGTATCACATTTCAGCCCTTTTGGGCCTCACCTAAAAAGCCTGAGGCAGGAAATAGCTAGAAACATCCAGAGAGATAAGAGCCTGCCTTGGAGCCTACTTTCTGGGCTGGATCCACCTTCTGAGTTAAACTTTAACCCACCTCCAGGATATTCTGGTCTTCATAGAAAAGGAAAAAGTAACTAGGTAACCCTGTTTATGCACAGTGAGTCTCAAATTATATGCCCAGTGGTCTTTAGCAACCCTTGGCCAACACTGGCTCTAATTATCACGCCATTACTTATGTTGTTTTAACGCCCTTTACCCTTGTGTCTCCCCACGGAGGGCTTTGGGTACCATGACAGTTCTTCTAAGGGCCATAAAAGGTCAAAAACTCCACCATCCAATGGAAGGGCAGAGTCAGCTGGTCATGGGCAAGAATAAAATCTCAGACCAACTACTTGAATGCTGCCCCAAACCCTGAGGCTTAAAACCTTCAACAACGCTTCCTCTGGGGTGTAAGCTCTTCTTACTGGCTCACCCTGTGGAGGGAGTGTACTTTCACCTTCAATAAACCTTTGATCTTGCTGCTCCTTTTGCGTGTCCTGCTCAATTCTTTGTTCAAGACACTAAGAACTTGGATAAGACCCTTCATCGAGTAACAATTTTGTATTATTTAACCCAAACTTCTGCCACATGAGGAAGTAAGAAAAATCTTTCCCTCACTGGCATCTGCTTTTGTCTGAAACTTCTCATCCAAACAGCTTAGACTTTCTTGGTATTCTGGCATAAATACTCTGAAGAACCCATTAGAAGACTTGAAAGAGTACAGAAAGAGGAAATCTCAAGAATAGGTAAGATTCTGCTTTGTGAGAAAGGGAAGTCGTGTGTCTGCTCTCCGAAACTCTGTTCTCAGTAAAAGCACCATCAGGTCAAGAAAACATGTACGTCAATCAGTTCCTCTTTGCTTAAATGAATTCCGCATGAATTGGTCATTTGCAACCAAGAGTTCTGACAAATACATTGCACAAGAAAAGAGAAATCATGAATCATGAAAAATGGATCTTAATTCCTTTAAGATGATGGAGCCAGCAGCAAATCACATCTCTGTGGTGGGAACAGAGACATCTAGAGAACAACTTCTTCGTGAGAAGAAAGAGAAGAGCTCTGGGAATCAAGAAAGAACCAGTAGGAAAGCTAAAAATCACAGAGAACAGAAGACAACCAGAGAAAGGAATGAAGCAGTGTGGAAAGCTAACTCTGACTCCAGGGTAGAGGGGATCTCACCCCCAAACACAAGGTAAGTCCAGAGACAGTCAGCAGCCCCAGTGAGAAACAGTGGACCAGCAGCACCAGCCCAGGAAAAACTCTATAGTAACTATGAGCTGCAAATACAGTGTGGAGTTTACTCTGAAAGTGACTCCTTCCACATGACAGGCTAGCACTGAAGAAACCCACTGACTGTAGCACCTGCCATATTAGGGAGTGAAGTAATTAGGAGCCATTTTGAGGAAGGGTTTGTTGTTAAGACTGAGCAAGTCTAGTAATCAGAGGTCACAGAACAAACACATTTCAGGGTCTCTGGGTTATCTTACTGCAGTGCATGGGTGAGAGGTGGCCACAAGAGAGAGTCACAGAGAGGCAGAGGGGTAATCACAGACCACTGAGAAATTTAAGCAGCAGTGAGCTGAGGCTGTGGAAGACAGGGATCCTGACATCTGCGGTGAGAAGACAGGGAGGTTGAGTTTGGTTTTCTGCAGGGAGTGGGTCTAAAAACGGTGGGAAATCAAACAATAACAAGTGCTGGTGAGGTTGTAGGGAAAAGGAACACTTTTGCATTGTTGGTGGGAATGTAAAGTAATATGTACAACCACTGTGGAAACCAGTAGGGAGATTCCTCAAAAAACAAAAACTAGATGCTCCATTTGACCCTCTGGACATATGTTTTTAATTCTTTTATGTAGGTATCTAGAAAGGGGATTACTTGTTCGAGGGGCAACTCTATGTTTATTATTTTGAGGATTTTCCAAAACGACTTTCATTTTACATTTCCACCAGCAATGTAGATGGCTTCCAACTTCTTATTCTCTGGAAACCTTGCCTGACTTTTTGATTCTTACCATCCCAGTCAGTGTGAAATGCTCTCTCATAGCAGACTTCCCTTGCATTTCTTTGATGACTAATGATGTTAAGCACCTGTTTGTGTAATCATTTACTTTCTGTGACATTTTGGGAAGGAGAGGAAAGAAGTGTGTGAGAGGGAAAAAACTGTTTTCTAAATATTTGAAAATATTAACCTAGGATTTTCAAGAGTTTGTCAACATGTACAGATTTCTATTTCTATGGTTCTTATTATGGTTAGTGTGATTAAGGAACTGAAGTGTCCTACACTGAATTTGCAAAGATTTCCTCTTGCGTATTGTTGGGAATGAGGATTCAGACTCTCCAGTGTCCGCTAAAAGACAGAGCAGAGTTCATTCCCAGAGCCTAAAAGGCTAAGTGTCTTTAGTCACCAGCACCACACTTCTGTTGTGGATAAATGAGTTCCTTTCAAAGGATTATGAAAGCCTTGACATAGAATACATATCATCTAAAAGACAGATGGCAAGGTATTTAAATGGGGTTTTGCATTTTAACCATAGTACCAAACATGTGGTGCATCAACATGTGTCTATTATGAAAGTTGAATTGAGGGCTCATGCAGTGTTACATTCTATCTGTTCCTGTATATGTTTAAACATTTCTTGTATTAAATTCTTTTATTGGTACATTGTAGGTATACAACACAATTACATTTCTCATTGGGAACTTGTACCTTTACATAATGCATCTTGGTTCTTATTTTTTCCCCATTCCTAGCCCTCCCTTCACCCCCTCCACCCTTCCCTATTTACAAAGACTTTATTTCCATTTTTCCATTTCTCAGCATTTTTCCTTTCCCTTCTTTCCTTTCCCCTGCCCCTCCCACTACCCCTACCCTTTTGGACATTTTCTTCCTATTTTGCATTATCGATTATTCATTCTAATCATTGGTATGTTTTAGGTATACAATATAATGACATTCATCATTGGAAATTTGCACCTTTACATAGTCTCTCTTGGTTCTTATTTTTCACCCTTACCTTTGTAAATAGGGAGGAATGGAGGGGTTGAAGGGAGGGCTGGGCAAGGGTGTTTAAACATTTTTGGGATGAAAATCTTTAAAAAGTAAAAGATGTTGCTTGCCTCCTGTGTGAAGGAGGGACCAATCATAACGGCTGGCCAGAGTGAGTCAGTCTCTCAGGCTTGGAGTTTAGCTATCTTCCCAGTAAAAACATTTCAGGAAGTATAATTCTTTGAGGCTGGGAACTTGGAAATAAATTGTTGTGCATGACAGGAAGAAGGAAGAAAGGAGGTATGGATATAGTTTTTAAAAGATTTTTTTAAATGTCAAGTTCCCACCTGATGGCTTCTACTTCTATAGTGAACGGTGAGCTCAGGACATTTGCTGACCATGTTGAGATGGCCTCAGTTTGAGGACAGTATAGAGGTTTGAAGTGGATATGAGAAGCATGGGGTATGGACTAAGGAATCAGTGACCTAGGATGCATGGGGTTTGCTCACTCAGGGGAAGCACAGGATAATGATGCAAAAATGAATACCTGTAAGTAACTGCTAGTTAGTGCTGGAGCTGACGACGAATTCCTTCTGATACCAGTGGACTTGAGTGTGAACTTTAAACCACTAGTGATGCATCATATAAGGAAAAGTTTTCAGTAAAAGCCAGACCTTCCCAGACAGGAAGGATCAAATGGATTGGATGAAGCCTATTCAGTTATATCAAATAACTAATATCCGATATTATTTGCCTTAGATACCTTGAAGTCTGCCTTGAAGAGGGAAGAAACAAAGACAAGAGCTTGGTGGATAGAATAGTAAGTGGAAAAGTTAGTAAGCTGGAATTGAAAAAAAATTCATAAGGTTATATCCTGGAAGTACAGGAAGGTGAAGTCTAGGGTCAAATGGCAGAGTGTATTACTTCAGATGATAGAGATGGTTCTGTGTTTGACCTTTAGGATGTAACAGTAACTGAAGTAGAATGGAGATAGAAAACCCTAATATGGGACAGTAGAGGAATTAAGAGGCTAGTTTACAGGCCGGTCTACCCATATGGAAGTTGAGTTCCACAACTTACTCCCTCTTTTCTCCTTCTAAGGGCCCCCACAGAATCTGCAGTTTTTTCTGCAGCCATAAACTTCACCCATTACAGAGACAATTGTGTAATTCTGGACATGAAGCCTAGAATATGGTAGTGTAAGGGGAGTATTGGAAATCAATTTTTATGCTTTTGGGTTTTGTTTGGTTTGTGTAATTTGGCACCATAAGTTGAGGGAGCATGAAGAAATAACCAGGGAGGGAAATCACTTACCTTAGATGATTTTTCAGTCGGGAAACATCAATGACAAGATGAAAGAATGTGTCTGAAACACATTATGAGGCCCACATGACAGACTCTTAAGCAGCATCTACTGTGCTCCTAGAGTCTGCCACAGCCAACCATGTATCCATGGCAACATTACCCTGAAACACTCCCTGGTAAGGGTTACACATCTGTGTGACACTCTGGTCACTGACAACATTTATTTAAAAATAACTAAGCCATTCTTTTCCGAAAAATATACCTGTCCCTCGTTATCTCTTCAGATATGCAAGACCTATCTTCCTTATGGCTCTAGAGCAGTGATGGCGAACCTTTTTGAGCTTTTGATTTTACAAACAGCCCACTGCAGCAGGTGTGCCATAGGTTCGCCACCTCTGCTCCAGAGGGTTGCAAACAGGGGGGAAGGTGTGGATTGCCATACAGTGCCATACAGTGCCAAACTATGAGGTAGGAAAGGAGCCTGACCTCCTCAGACTGCACCAGGGTGGGAATGGGATTTGGAGATTTGGCACATCCATTCCTCAACAAGAGCTCCAGGGACTTGTTATAGAAGCCCAAAGAGGCAATCAGGGAGATCTGAAATAATAGTTTCTCTCTGTCCCTAAACACAGCCCTGGGTTGCCAATACCCTTGCTCCAAATACAGCGCACTGTAAAGACACCATTCTTTAAGAACATTTATTGGGGATAATTAATATTTTCTATGAGGAATCAATTATTTTGAAGGCAGAAATTTCTCTTCTTCAATTCTGGGGAAGAATTTTCTCCTTAAATAGTACTGGGGAAACCTCCCAACATGGTGCCTTCAGCCATACGGGTAGCTAGAGGTTGGCCTGCTTGAGGCTGCAGTGGGGATTGGATGGGGCAAAATCCCTCTGAGAGCCATGGATAGATGATGCTTCTGGTTGGTAAATGCCACCACTTTTAGGAGCTGTTTGTCCCAGTCTCTGGTGAGTCTACTCCTTATATAATTACTCTGGTTAACAACACCAGCTTGTTGGTTTCAAGACTTGGCATTTGTCGCTCATGTTAGAGCAGGACGCTTTGTAGTTGAGGTGATGCCCCTGGACAGGCTCTGCCTGGATATGCAGTTGTGCCTCACACTGAGTTTCCCCGGACTTGTTGGGAGATGAGAGGGTCTCATGAGGGCAGGTGCTATCTACTCCATGCCTATGTCCCAGTTCCTCCTCCAGGACCTTGCCACCACTTCTCATGACTTTCTGGTCTTTGGTGCTCCTGTGAAAGGCAGTCCGCCCTCTGACTAGGCCCTTGTCTTGCACAGATGATGATGGGCAGCTGCCTTTTTCCAGGGAACTTTTCCCCCCCTCTGTTTTATAGAAGGAAAAAGACATTACATGAAGTGCTTCATGTCTTCTGAAACATGTTTTAGGAAGGAACTGTCCCTTAGTGACGAGGTTGGGGGATTTGCTCCCAAGTGTCTCTGCTAACGTTCTGACTTGAGGGTGGTGGGTCTTCCTTCTTGGCTGGCATGGCCTCAACCCTACATCCCTTCTATCAAGCTCTCCTGCTTGGGATTCTGGTGGCCTCATTCTCTTGGCATCTGGTGGGAAATTCATGTCTTGGCCTTTGTGAATGTCTGGTTTGGGGATGCAGGGCTCCTGTGCCTGCTTTGTGCTGATCTCTGAGTGGTCCAAGTGGATTACAGCACCTAGGAGGCTTCCATTGCCTCTGAAGGTGCCCTGGTAATGAGTTGGTAAAGTCCTGAAAGTCACCCCTAAGGAACTTTCCAGGGCTGTCTCAGAGTCAGAGTCCGGACCACTATTTTCTGGAGACTCCTCTGGTCACTTGACAGATGATATTAGGGGCCAATCTCTGTACTGTGTTTCTGTCCCTTTCCTACTCCCTCCTATGGAGGAAGCATCTCCGAGTTCCCCCCTTTGGAGCTTCTGGCTTGGCTCGGTCTCACATTGTTTAGGTCTTTGCTGCTCTGTCCCTTCAGCAAGGAAATCCATAAGAATGCATGACTGTCCTTTGACTCAGGGGTCTCAGGAACATCCAGAACTCACCAGTGACAGAGACTCAGCATCTTGTGGGTCAGGCTACGCTGGTGTTAGATGGGCCTCTTGTGAAGATGGTGTTCCAGAGTCTTCCACAGCTCACTGCCTAGGGGAAATCTCTAGGAAGGGTGGAGATCAGAATATGGGCCTTGGAAGACCAGATTATCAATGGAAGGCTGGGAGCTGGAAGACATAATCCTTCCTGGGATTTATGCACCACAGACCCCACATGCTTTCTTGTATTGTCTGAAACATTCCAGGTGGTGAATTTGACATGACATGAAGGACTGTGCCTCATTCCGGGGCCTATGAAGACACTCCGAAGGTTCTAATCCAGCACAGAGGAGAGGGTGGCAGGATTGGGCGTGCTAACTCAGCTGAGCTAGAGCTGAAAGGGGGAGATATTGGGGCCCAGATTGAGGCAGGGATTGAGGCTTGACCACAGGCAAGGACAGAGGCAAAGGAGGTGGAAAGCCCTGGGGATGCACAGGCTGTGGAGGCACCGGAGATTGTACTGACGTGAACAAAGTTGAAAGGCAGTCATGTGAGTCAGGTATGGTAGAATGCAGGGACTCGGTATGCAGAAGGGGAAGACCTCTGTAGGAACTGGATGATTTTGCTGTAACAGGTCTTCCAAAATCTCCCAAAGAAATGAGGGCTACTGATATACACGTGGCTCCTCTGGTTTGGCTTTGCTGCTCCAGAAAGTAAGGGAGGCTGCCAAGTCCTGATGCTCAACAACTGACCCTAACATTGTCTGTGAAGAATTCACTTGGTAGCCTGACTTAAATTGTTTTGGAAAAGATTCTGCTTTGTCTTTTTTTCCTCTCGCACCAGAGCACCACCTCTCTTTTTTGTTTGCCAGGACATCAGAGATGAGAAACCAGGCGTTATAACACTGTACAATCCAACGTGTCTCCCATATGTGTGGAAGAATGAGAAGCAAGAAAAACCAGTTTCAATCTATATTGTGTCCAGTGGGCAGGGAGCATATTTGGCACTAGGCTTCCTGCTAGAGATTTCAGATATTGCCAGGCTGAAACAGTTCATGCCTCTGGTTGTTGGGACATAAACAGACAACTTACCAAGATTTCCTCCCAGAGACAAAGTGGCTTCTCTTTGGAGAAGATGTTCTGCTCCCTGAGTGTGATGTGGTGGAAGGGATTGAAATCCAAGCATATGGGCTGGGAAATGGTCCACCAAGAATTTGGGATCCAAGGAAGGAATAAGCTCTGCTGACAGAGTCATCCCATGCCAAGGACAAAAGTGAGTCTGCTGGAGAAGTGATCTGGCTAGGTGAGGGAATGGAGGGCATGGGTAGAGAAGGCAAAGGCAGAGGGGCTGTAACTGGATGTCCTGGAGGGATTGTCAAGAAGGCAAAGGTAAGAGTGAATGATGAAGGGTCAGGGATGTAGCTCAGTGGCACCGCGCCTGCCTGGCAAGTGCAAGGTCCTGAGTTCAATCCCTGGTACTGGGAAAAAAAAAAAAGAGTGAATGATGACTCTTCACAGAACCTATGGATGCCAAATGGGACACAGAGTGAACAGCCTCTTCCAGGGATACCTGAGAAAGCAGAAGACTGACCTTAGCAGTTGTTGTATTACCTCCTCACAGAGGGGTCTGGACAAAGCCGTTGTCAAAGGTGAGTGGTGTGATGATGCTGCAGGAGACAGAAAGTACAAAGTTGTCATAAGCACAAGGAAAAAAGGACCTGTTGTCCTAGTGAGGGTGGTGTCGCTAAGCTTGCTGTCCTTTTCACATTGCCCCACACCCACAACTTCATAAAAGACTCTATAAACTTCCCCCCAATCCCAGGCCTTCATTCACACACACCTTGTGCTGTGGCTCTCCCTCCCATGACTAGGACAGGGGATAAGTCCTTGGGATGCATTGAACATGTAAGAAAAGGGACCAGCAAAGAGAAGGGATTAATCTCCTTTATAGAGTAGATAGCAGCTTCCTCCCCTCTTCCTCTTTCTGCCATGGTCTCTGACCTGGAAAACCGGACAGTGGGTGCCTTGTAGTAAAGGTAAAAAAATAGGATCGTATAGGAGTCCCTTTATGGGAAACACTTAGGGTATCAAAGTCTGAAATCCCTAAGAATCAGTAGACAAGGTGAAATGGGATATTAAGGATATTAAGAACATTCTCATATGTATGTGGTTTCATTTTTATTACTTTAAAAATTTTTTACTAGTACATGTTTGCAGTACATAATGTTTACATTCCTTGTCTCAAATTAGTACATGTGCGCATCACATTTTAATTCCTTTTTTCATTCTCTTTTTCTCTCCTCTCTCCCATCCTCCCTCCATCTCTTGGTCCCTTCCCCACTTGAGAAAGCTTTATCTCCCTACTTCCTATCATCTATTTTTTATTTTGCTCTTTATTTATATTTTTGTTTTCTCATATAAGAGAAACTATTCAATATTTAAGCTTATGTGTCTGGTTTATTTCCCTTAACATTATGGACTCAACCAAGGTGCATCCATTTTCCTACAAATGATTCAGGTTTATCTTCCTTTATGACACAGAAGTACTCCATTGTGTGTATATATCACATTTTCTTTATCCATCCATCTGTTGATGGACATATAGGCTGCTTCCAAGATTTAGCTGTTATGAATTGTGCCGCTATAAACAAAGGTATGCATGTATCACTGTAATGTGGTATCTTTTAACTCTTTCAGGAAGATATCTAGAAGGGGAATAGCTGGGTCAAATGAAATTTCTAGTTTTAGTTTTTTGAGGATTCTCCATACTGATTTCTATAGTGGCTACACTACTTTACATTCCCACCAACAGTGGCGAATGGTTCCTTTTCCCCTGCAGCCTCACCAGCATTTGTTATTATTTGATTTCTTGATGATGGCCATTCTTTCTGGGGTTAGATGGAATCTTGGCATTGTTTTAATTTCCTTTTTTTTGGTATATCCTTTTATTGGTACATTTTAGGTGTACAATGTAATGACATTCATCATTGGAGATATGCACCTTTACATACTCTTCTTGGTTCTTATTTTTAGCATTGTTTTAATTTTCATTTCTTTAAGTCAGTGATATCAAACATTTCTTCACTTCATATTTCTTACCCATTTGTATTTCTTCTTCTGTGAAGTATCTGTTCATTTCACTTGCTTATTTTTTAATTCGGTCTTCTATTGGGGGGGCCTCATTTTTTGTGCTCTTTATATATTTTAGATATTAGTCCTCTGTCTGAAGAGTAGTTGGCAAAGATTTTTCCCCATTCTGTAGGTTGTCTTTTCACTCTGTCTCTTTTGCTGTGCAGAAACTTTTTAATTTGATGTGATCCCATTTGTTGATTCTTGGTACCATTTCCTATGCAACCAGCATTCTGTTCAGAAGGTCCTTGCCTATGCCTATTACTTTAAGAGTTTTACATATTTGGGCCAGGTATTTAGCTCAGTGGTTCCACTGCCTGCTTCGCAAGCACAAGGTCTGGAGTTCGATTCCTGATACCAAAAAAAAAAAAAGAAAAGAAAAACAAAAAGAGTTTTACGTATTTTGTCTTCCAGCAGATTAAGTCTTCCTGTTTTAACATTTAGTAATTTGATCTATTTTATTTTAGTTTAGTATATGATGAGAAATATGGGTCTAGATTCAATCCTCTGTATGTGGACAGCCAGTTTTTTCAATATCATTTATTAAAGAGGCTATTTTCCTTCCAGTGTATGTTTTTGGCCCTTTTGTCAAGGATCAAATAATTGAATGTGCTTGGGGTTGTTTCTGCATCCTCTATTCTGTTGCACTCATCCTCATGTCTTTTTTTGTGTCAGTACCATGCTGTTTTTAATTACTGTAGCTTTGTAATATATTTCTTTTTGGTACTGGGGAACGAACTTGGGACCTTCCGCTTTTGAGGCAGGTGGCGGAACCACTGAGCTAAATCCCTGGCAGTATAATATAATTTTAAGTCTGGAATTATGATGCTTCCTGCTTTGTTTTTGGTATTCTGGGTCTCTTCTGATTCCATACAAATTTTAGCATTGTTTTCTTCAGTTCTATGAAGAATGCTATTGGGTTTTTTTGGGGGGGTACTGGGGGTCAAACTCGGGACCTTGTGTTTGCAAGGCAGGTGGCAGAACCACTGAGCTAAATCTCCAGCCTGCTGTTGGTATTTTGATTTAGATTGTGCTGAATATTTATATCAATTCATTTTGACTATCCAGGAGCAGGGAAAATATGTTTCCATTTTCTGATGTCATTTTTGACTTACTGTTTCAGAGTACTGTAGTTTTTGTTGTAGAGGTCTTTTACTTAATTAATTTCTGAGTATTTAATCTTTCTTGGTGCTATTGTGAATAATATTTTTCCTAATTTCTTCCTCAGTGGATTCAATATTGGTGTATAGGAATGCTATTGATTTTTGTGTGTTGATTTTGTGTTCTGCTACACTGCTGAATTTGGTTATTCTAGGAGTCTTTTGATGGATTTTGGGGGGTCTTTTATGTAGAGGATCATGTGATCTTCAAATAATAATGATTTGACTTCTTCCTTTCCTACATGTATCCCTTTTATTTTTTTCTTGCCTAATTGCTCTTGCTAATGTTTCAAGTACTATGTTGAACCAGAGTGGTGAACATCCTTGTTGTGTTCCTGATTTCAGAGGGAAAGTTTTCAGGTTTTCCCCATTTAATATGATGTTGGCATAGATAGATTTGTCATAAATGGCTTTTTATTGGATTGATATAGGTCCTTCTATACTTATTTTCTTCAGGATTTTTAATCATGAAAGAATGTTGAATGTTGTTGAAGGCATTTTCTGTATCTCTTGAGAGGATCATGTGATTTTTGTCCTTGCTTCTCTTTATGGGATGTATTACATTTATTTATTTATTTATGTTTGGTACCAGGAATTGAGCTATGTATTACATTTCTTAATTTGCATATGTTGAACCATCCTTGTATCCCTGGGATGAAGGCCGCTTGGTCAGGATGTATGATCATGCCTGGGCTCTTCCCCTAAAGAGTGATGCTTTGTCTTCTCCTCAGACTTCACTTCTCAGGAGTCTCCTGAGCCAACCATGCTCATTTAATGGTGTGAGAATTGAAATGGGAAACAAGAGCAATGAATTCATCTAGGGATTCACTTGTATTTCCTTACCTTTTGGATGCCCTCATTTTTCCAGAGTGTTTGTCAAAATAACTTCACAACAGGCAGCCCAGAAACAGAGGAAGCAACACTGCAGCACTCAGAAAGGTCCAGCTGGGGTCTGTATGCAAGGAAGTTGAGGCAAAGCTCAGCCTTGGCTCAGAATGGCTGTTCAGAAAAGAGAGACCCTTTCCCATGATCTGAATCACGAGGCTGCCCGAGGCAACTGAGTTCTGAGGGTGCAGGGACTTGATTATATTCTGAAGCCTACATCACAGAGCATGGAGAGTCAGTCACGGAGGAGGTCTGGGGATGGGGAAGAGACACCCAGAGGGGGCACCCTTCCTTTACCACCAACCCAGCAGCCCGCTTTGGCTGACCCTTCTGTTCCATTTCCTCATAGCATGGGTTTCGCTCCGATGTTGTTCTGCTTGCTCCATCTGGGACTCAGATGCATTCTCCTTTACCACTGAATTCCTCAACTTGGACCACACCACATCTGCTACCTGGAAAGTCTGACAAACAGCCTGGAATATCTGCCTACGAGCAAATATTTATACTGTTGGAGTTACATGTATCATTTAGCCTATCTTACCTCAGAGTGTTTTTGCTTTACACTGAGTCAGATACAGAACTCAAAACTTCTTAGTTTTGTGAATGTTGAATAGTAAATTTTTTGTTTTGGTCAGCCTATCCTGTCTTCAGAGGTGCTGATTTCATCAATTACAAGCAATAATTATTCAACATTCACAAAACTAAACTAAAATAAATCATATATATGATATATATTATATAATATATAGTATATATATGTATGTATTTTTAAAAACTTAAACTGGGCATAGTGGAACATGCCCATAATCCTGGCATTCTGGGAGGCTGAGGCAGGAGGATCACAAGTTCAAGTCCAGCCTGTTAGCAACTTAGTGAGACCCTGTCTCAAAATAAAAAAATTAAAAGTAGGACTAAGGATGTAGCTTAGTGCAGAGGCCCTGGGTTCAATCCCCAGGACAGAAAAAAACAATTAAAAATCCAGCTGATCTTGGGGATAAGACTAAGGCACTTCTGGTTGTTTCTGAATGTTCCATCTTATCCCACCATTTCTCAGCTTTTCTGCATTATAACTGGTCTCCTTTAGCTAGCCATAAAGAGAGAATTCCTTTTTTCAGACCAGTGAACTGACTGATCACATCACATCAGCTCTATTCTTCAGGTCATGGCTTTGCAGCTGAGTTGTTTTATTTACAGGTATTTCTCGGTTTTGTTTGTTTGTTTTGCTTTGCATTTATATTTGGAAATCTAGTTGAAAAAAACAACATTACTGGATCCAGGAGCACCTTATGAGAGTACACGTACCTTGCTGATAGAAATAAAATCTAGAATCTATGACTCTCTTCTTTAGTTCCTTTCACCTGCAAGAAGATAAGGTGCCCAGTCTAATAGCTGAGGCAACACGTCTATGTTTACCATGTTGTACATGCTTTAATTTCCCTTAGCAGTCATTCACCAGAGAGAGAAGGAGGAGCAACCTACAGGAATCAGTGATTTCTGGCATTAAAATTGCTGGCCACATCAGGCTGCTTCTCACACATGGCCCCAGTAAGACCAGATAAATTTCCACGGAATCATTCAACCTGTCTGATTACTGTTTCCTGATGTCAGAAGAGATTCAAATTTCCTACATTTTAGGAAATATATCTCTATATGTACAGCCTATTGGTTCTGTTTTTCTGCAGAACCCGAATACAAATCTCATAATGATTTATACAAGATCAAATTAAATTTCATGAAAAGTTTGGAGAATCTGATTCTATTCTAGTCTTCTTAGGAAAATTAAATACATAAATTAATTCAAAAAATTCTAAATTAAAAATGTGAGTAATGACACGAGGCTAGATAAATTAGTTATTTAAATATATTATAAAAGCTATGATAATTAAAATATGGCACTGCTAAGAGAAGAAAAATATATAGATATAGGATCCAGAATAGGCAGCCCAGAAATTCACTTTGTTCCATATAAGAAGTGGCTAGACACTCACAGATATATATCAGAAGGAAGTGAAGTCAGCATACAAAAGATACCTGCATGCCCATGTGTATTGTGCCACTTTTCACAACAGCCAAAGTAGGAATCAGCCTCAGTGCCTTAATAATGGATAAATGTGATACACACACACACACACACACACACACACAATAGAGTACTATTCAGCCGTAAAGAAGAACGAAATCCGTCCATTTCCCTCAAAGTGAATGGAACTGGAGACATTGTGTGAAACTAGTCCCAGAAAGTTAAAATTCACATGCTTTCTTTTATGTAAGCAATCTAAAAGTAAAGACAAATAAATGCAAACGCAAAGGAGAGAGGACAGGAAACCAGAAGGTCGATTTCCAGTGACAGGAAAGGGGAAGGGAGACAAAAGAAAGGGTATGAAAGTCATCAGACTTTGTTAAACGCGTGTACTAATGTATCATTACGAATCTCAGTATTGTTACTGCTAATCCGTACCAATAAAAATAAAATTACCTATTTTTAATTAGTAAATTTTATTTTTTGATTAATACATAATATTTGTACGTGTTATGAGGTACAACATGATGTTTTGATTCGTGTATATGTTGAGTAATCATCAACTTGGGGCTGGGGATTTAGCTTAATGGTTTTGCCACCTGCTGCCCAAGCATAAGGACCCGAGTTCGATCCCTGGCACCAAAAAAAAAAAAAAAATGTCAGAGTAATCATCAACTTGGAGTAATTTAGCATATCTTAAATTACCTTAAACTTTTATCACTTCTTTATGGTGAATGCATTCAAAATCTTCTCTTCTAACTTTTCCGAGGGATGTGATGCATTCTTATTAACTACATTCACTGTACTGTCCCATAAAACACCATTAGTTACTCCTCCTATCTGACTGTAAGTGGGTCCATTGAGGAACCTCTCCCAACCTGTCCTTCCCCTACTCTCCCCAGCCTCTGATAACCACTATTCACTCTGCTGTCACCTTCTACAAGATCAACTTGTTCAGATTAGATAGTATTTAGATCAGATAGTATTTCTCTGTGTGCCTAGCTTATTTCACTTAACAAAATGTCCTTCAAGACCATCCATGGTGTTGAAAATGGAAGGCCTTTGTGCTATTTTTAATAACTAAATAATATTCCTTTGTGTGTGTGTATACCACATTTTCATTATCTATTCAGCTGAGGACAGATATTTAGGTTTACTCTGTATTCTGTCTGTGAATAGTACTGCAAAAAACATAGGAGTACAGATGTCTCTTCCACATGCTGATTTCATTTCCTTTGAGTATACCCAGTAGTGGAATAGTAGAATTGTTGAATCATATCATAGTTATAGTGTAAGATTTTGCAAAACCTCCATACTGTTCCCTATAATGGATTACTAGTTTACATTTCAACTGACAGTGGATAAGAGCTCCCTTTTCTTCACATCCTCCCCAGCATTCATTTTTTGTCTTATTGATAAGAATCATTCTAATCAGGAGTGTTTCTTATTGTGGTTTTGATGTGCACTCCCCTGGTGGTTAATGATGTTGAACATTTTTTCATAGATCTGTTGGCCATTTGTATATTTTCTTTTAAGAAATTTCTATTCAGATATTCAGCCCCTTTGTATTGGATAATCTGAAGGTGTGTGTGTGTGTGTGTGTGTGTGTGTGTCTGTTGTTTATTTTGCTATGGAATTGTTTGAGTTCCTTGTATATTTTGGATATTAACCATTCACCAGATGGGTACTTTGCAAATATTTTCTCCCATTCTATAGGTTGTCTCTTAGTTCTGTTAATTGCTTCCTTTGTTGTACATATTTTAGTGTGATACAATCCCATTTGTCGATTTCAGTTTTGAGGTCACATCCAACAATGTTTGCCCATACCAATGTCTTGAAATATTTCTCCTGTGTTTCTTCTTGTAGCTTTGTTATTCTGGGCCTTACAGTTCAGCCCTCAATCCGTTTGAGTTGATATTTTTATATGGTGAGAGGTAGTGGTCTAGTTTCACTCTTCTGCAGGGACATGCCAGTTTTCCCATTTATTGAAGTGACTGAATTTCCTCATTGTGAAGTTCTTGGTTCCTTTATCAAAAATCACTTGGCTGGAGCATGTCTGAAATCCCAGCCCTCTGGGAGGCTGAGGCAGGAGGATCACATGTTTGAGCCTAGTCTGAGTAATAGTGACTTAGTGAGATCCTGTCTCACAATTGGAAAAAAAAGGCCTTGGGATTAATCCCCAATACCGACAAAAAAAAAAAAAAGAGTCAGTTGGCTATAAATGTTTGGTTTGTTTCAGTTCTGCTGGCCTGTATGTCAGTTTTTATGCCAATACTATGCTGTTTAATTTCCATAGTCTTGTAATGTATTTGGAAGTCAGGTAGTGTAATACTTTCTACTTTGTTATTTTCGCTCAAGAAGGCTTTGGGTACTCAGAATTTTTTGTGGTTCCATATAAATTTTAGAATGTTTTTCCTAGTTCTGTGAAGAATGACGCTGATATTTTTATGTGAATTTTTCTGTGGCACCAGGCTGGCCAATTCTTCATCTTTTCAGCTACAAATCACCTACCCTAATGGCTGGCATGTCATAGAAACACGATGCTGTGAGCTGGAATGTGTCTCTCCCTGACATGGGTGACAACAAAATGATCTACAGGGTGTTATTCTAGAAAACTGGGCTGGCTGGCAAGAGAGAGGATTGTTTTTTGTTTGTTTGTTTGTCTGTTTGTTTTTGGTACCAGGGATTGAACTTGGGTCCTTCTGCTTGTGAGGCAGGTGGTGGAACCATTGAGCTAAATCCCCTGCCCAAGGATTGTTTTGAGACACAAGACCCTAGTTCTGTTCCTCCCCTGAGAACTTGCTCTGTGGCCTTGGAATTCACATCCCAGTGGGAATAGCAACACCTCCTGCCTACAGCACAGAAATGAGTGAGCTTTCTAAATGCCCTTTGGCTCATGGAGCGCTGCCCAAACAAGAACTGAGGTACGATTGACTTGATCTAGAAGATACAGATAGAGAATTAAATTTAGCATTTGCAGCAAAGAAAGACAAAATTCCCCCTTTTCTGCACACATCCATTGTTGTTTTTGAGCAGTTTCTGATCTGAGAACACAAAGATGAGTAAGATGAGGTTTCTTGTCCTCTACCCTCTGGTGAAGCAGACCATGCTGGGAAATCCCTGAAAGCAGTCAGGCTGTGTGCTGCCGAAGGCTGGGAGCATTTTCGAGCTGGAGATGGCAGAAAGGGAAATCAGGGAAGCCTCTTCTTCAGAGGAGGGAAATCTAGGCCATCTTCTATTGCCAGTTGTAAAACATGAGTCTGGTCTCAGGATTTCAAGAAAAGTTGCTACACGTCGTGGGATCACCTCTAATTCATTTCACAGGACATGAAGAAGAGTCATGTTTCACTCATTTCCCTAGGTATGAAAAAGCATCTCTCCTTGCCTTATACCATCTTAAAAATGAAGTGCCTTGAAAGCTCATGTTCACACAAAAGCTGCACACAGATGTTTATAGCAGCTTTATTAGTAATTGTCAAAACTTGGAAGCAACTGAGAAGCCTTTTAATATATATCTGAGGTTTGTCCAGATGGTGGGATATTATTCAGCCCTAAAAAGACATGTGCTACAAGCCATGAAAAGACATGGAAGAGCCTAAAGTCCATATACTAAGTGAAAGAAGCCAGTCTGAAAAGTTTACATACTGTTTGATCCCAACTGTTGATATCCCAGAAAAGGCAAAAATTTGGAGACAATAAAAGCATCTGGTGGCCAGGATTAGGGGATGAACAGG